TCCCGCAAAGCAGGGAGCCCGATGTGGGGCTCGATCCCAGGACCCCGGGACCATGACCTGAGATGAAGGCAGATGCTTAACGACTGAGCCATCCAGGCGCCCCTCAGTGCTCTTTTTGGTGACCCAAACTCAGTAACCCAGTGAGGTGGTGCATGCAAGAAGAGTCTACAGCTGCTAAGGATCTATACCCGCTTAGGGGTATAGATCTATACTCTGCTCTGCGGGGAGCCTGCTTCTCCCTCTCCCACTCCCCCTGCTTGTGTTTCCTCTCTCGCTGTATCTCTCTCTGTCAAATAAAAATAAAATCTTTAAAAAAAAAAAAAGAAGAAGAAGAAGAATCTATACCCACTAAGAGAAAGAGAAAGGTGGCATTGATCTGTGTCAAGATCAGTGCCACAGGGGAGTTGTCCTTTTTTCCTTCTGGGCATACAGAATATGAATATTCGCCCAGTCAAGTCTCCATCACAGGAACTGAGGGAGCAGTCCACTGAACTGACAGAGACTGACACCAGCTGGTAGTAAGGGCAAGGGGGTGGGGGGGGGGAGCAGGCAAAGGGGTTCAGCTCTTCTAGAGACCAGTACGCAATGTCCATAATGCATGTGCGAACATTTCTTCAGGACAAATTCCTTGAACTGAAACTGCTGAATCAAAATTCCAGATTTGCTGAATCCAGTAAGCTGTTCTCTGACAATGCTTACAACTTAGTCTCCCAAGCAACCTCACCAATGCCAGCTGTTGGTTTTTAAAGTACCAACCTGTCTGTTGGGAGAAAAATGTCTTGTTTTAATGTCTCCTCCTCATTCCCAATTACTAGTAAATTATGTCCCTAGGTATTTATAACTTTCATTGCTATTGTGAATAGGATATTTTCCCATTATATTTTATAATTGATTATTACCTTTAAGGAGATCAATTTGTCCCAGTTTGCCTGGGACTTTACCAGTTTCAGGACTGAGTGGGTAGTGTCCTGAGAAACTCTCCAGTCCCAGGCAAATCAGGACAGTTGGTCACCCCATAGCAATAACGTCTGAGTCTTTATCTCGTGTGTGACTGCCTTATTGAGGTCTTGTAAGTGCCAATCACTGGTCATTGGACAGGCTATCTGGAAAATCCAAAAGAATCATTCCACCTTCAAATAATAATTTTGTCTTTTCCTTTAAATGATCTGTATCTCTTTTCTTTCTCTGGTCTTCGTGCACTGGCTAGAACCTTCAAAACATGAAATAGTAGAGACAATGGACATCTCTTTCTCATAAGTGACTTTGCTTGGAATACTTCTAATGTTTCACCAGTGAGTGTGACGTTGCTATGGATTTGGTAGGTAATTCTTAAACAGAGGAAGTATCTTTTCTACTTCCAGCTTGCACATAAGGGTTTTTGTCCTCTACAAGTCAGGAACACATACTGAATTTTATCAAATATTTTGGGGCACCTATTAAGATGTTGTCTTTCTTAATCTATTTGCTGACTTCTCTCTCTCTTTTTTTTTGAGATTTTATTTATTTGTCAGGAAGATAGAGAGAGTACAAGCAGGGGGAGAGGCAGGCAGAGGGAGAAGCAGGTTCCCTGCTGAGCAAAGAGCCCAACATGGTACTCGATTCCAGGACTCCGGGATCATGACCTGAGCCGAAGGCAGACGCCCAACCGACTGAGCCACCCAGGCGCCCCTATTAGCTGACTTCTCAAAGTTGAACCATCCTTGCATTCCTAGGATGTTGCTAATATTTATCAAGCACTTACTATGTAGGAGATATTCTAGATACATAGGGTTTAAATAGCAGAGGATTATCTGTTACTCTCAATGAAATCATCTCCACATGGTGCCTTTTGAGGAAGGGGTTGGAAAGTAGATCTTTGATAGATTTAATTTCTATACCACAGCAACTTTAAGCCATGAATCAGCCTTAAGAGTCTCTCATTTCCTTGTAAGACACTTTACCTTTTACGGGCATGGAAATTGTGCTTATTGTTGATTGAGGTACTTTTGTTGATAAGTAATATTTTTCTCTCTAGGCATATTTCTTACTCAATTACATCAGTAATTTTTGAGAAAGAACATAAGTGAATGTGTGGTATCTAACATTAAAATACGATCGTCGAATGGAACACCTTCAAACCCGCCACACACCCTGTAGGCTCTACCTTGGCTCCTAAGGTAGAAGTGGTTATGAATGGCCATGTGTTTGTGTAGTGCCTTTCCGTTTTCTCTTTTCATTCCCCTTATTTAGTGGAGTGTCTCTATTAAGGCTTTGAGCACTACTATCCAATAGAACTTGCTGCGATGAAGGAACTATTCCGTATGTCCAATATGGTGCCACTCGCCACATTTAATTATTGAGCCCCTGAAATGTAGCTAGTACAACCGAGGAAGTGAATTGATTTTATGTAATTTCTATGAACTTTAAATAGCCACATGTGGCTAGTGGCTACCACATTGGGCAGCAGAGTCCAGAAGAGGCTTCGCTTGGGTCCCATTATGGCCCAACCCTTGAACAAGTTATTATCAGAAACTTTGCCTGTCCCGTTGGTTGTGTAAGTTGTCAGGGTGATGGGGAAGGGGACGATACTCAAAGGATTCATAAACTTTGTGAACGTTCATCTTGCTGAGTTCCCCTTATAACAGGTCACTACCTGACTCTACTAGAGAGTCATCAGGTCATGTACCAATAAAATCTTTCAGGATTCTGTCTCTTCTTGCATATTTTGAATATTCCTCCTCTGACTATTTTGTCAAGTAACCTTGATTCTAAAAACCACGGCTACAGGGTGATGGAGGCTGGTAGCCTCCATTTAACAATACACAATTTTCTTTGGGAGTGTGTGGATGGACAGGTGCTTTATCATGTCTTAGGTGGAAGAAGGGAGGAAGGATTTGCCCAGTTCTAACAAAACAAAATTCACACAGTGCCAGCCTTTGGGAAAAAAGCAAAATAACTGTCTATAGGTAATGAAAGAGAAATATAGGTATAAACACACTGCAATTAAAAGATGAGCAACAGGGGTGCCTGGGTGGCTCAGTCGTTGGGCGTCTGCCTTCGGCTCAGGTCATGATCCCAGGGTCCTGGGATCGAGCCCCGCATTGGGCTCCCCGCTCCGCGGGAGGCCTGCTCCTCCCTCTCCCACTCCCCCTGCTTGTGTTCCCTCTCTGGCTGTGTCTCTCTCTGTCAAATAAATAAAATCTTTAAAAAAAAAAAAAAAAAGATGAGCAACATAGGAACCAAAACAAATGATTATCATCATATTAATGATAATTTATAAGGGCAAGAAAGAAGTTAATGTCTAAAAATTTTGTTAAACCAAGAACTATCAATACAAGCATTTCATTTAGAGAGACAGAGATTACTTTCCTAAAGAAAAGTCAAGAACTAAAAGGGGCAGCACCCTGTCACGACACTGGAGACTGCTAATTTCCATCCTAAGCTTTTATCTTTTAATCTTGCATAAAGTAGTTTGATGTGTGAAAAAAAAACAGAAAGAGGCAGAAGGAAGCAGGACATGGAACCCACCGAAGATGAAGTTGTCCGGCCGGAAGAGATGCCCGAAAGGCCCGGACCGTACACTGTCCATGGTGCCTGGCTCCAAGTCCACCAGGGCAGCCCTGGGCACGTATTTCTGAGCTGGAAGAGAACAAAGCCCACCCCCAAGGGTCACTTTCTGGTCTCCAGAGTCATGGACAGTCCCCTCGCGGGTCCCCCCAGCACAGCTGCCTGGACAGGTAGGAAGCAGGGTTTCTTCAGAGACAGGCCCGGCTTTCTTAGGACCCCAGAACCTCAGCACTGGGAGGGGCCTGGGGGAACACAGTTCCAGCTGAAGTTGTTCCGATGAGGAAACCAGCCCAAGCACGAATGGGCAGAGGAAGTGCCAGGAATAAGCAGGATGAGAAATCAGGTCTCCTGACTTCCTGCCTTCTGTATTTTCCACTTCACCCTGACACCTCTTTCCTGTCGGGAAGTTTTACTTTTTTAGCTCCATGGAAATAAACTGTATCTGTTGCCACTACTTGCTGTGTTGCTCTACATTCTTTCCACTTTTTGGCACCTCCCTCAGGCACACGCATACATGGATCCAAGCTTTAGCCTGGGCACCTCGTTATAGGTACGATCCCATGGGCTGTTTCCTAGGGCCCCAGAGGGGGGTGGCCAGGATCCACTCTCATGTATGAACCCAGTGTTGCCGTGTAGCTTTTTTGTCAGCAAGCACATTTTCATGCCTAGTGGGCAGGAACTTGTTCCCCAGTGAGGATGGGGTTAACAGGATTGCACCCTACAACTCCTGTCCAGCTACACACACATAGCCAGACTGAAGAAAGGAAGTTAACAAGCTGCACCTGAAGGTTAACAGCAGATGCAATGTATAACTGGAATTTTCTTTAGTGCTATCTAGAAATTTCATATTCTATGCCCTGCTTGTCCAGACCTTTTCTTCTAGCTGCTGAATGAATAAAACCCAGTGATTTATGTATCCTGCTCTTCACAACTCTTGTGTGGACAAACAGCAAGTGACTCCAAAAACCAGATTAATTCTTTCTGGGAACATATGTCATGCATGTGGAAGGGTAGCATCTGTCATTTTCTGGGTGTTCTTTCCAAGTCTTAGTTTTTTGTTGTTTTGTGAAGGGCACCTATCACTTTTACAATAAAAACTGTAACAAATAATGTATACATATAGCCACTATATATATGTAGGTATCCAAGGCAGAGGTGATGTTATTCCCAAACTTGGATAAACCACAGCTTGGAATTTGTACTGAACTCCACCAATTATCCAGAATTGTCTGTAGTTTCAGCTTCCAGGGAGCATAGAGAGTTTTTGGAGGTCGGTAAAAGGTCAGAAAAGTCATTTAACTGGGTGCTTTTCAAATTTTTAGCCAAGAATCTCCATTAAGAGATCCATTTTAAACTGAAAAACAAAACAAAACAAAAAGTCGGACATGACCCAGTAAGGGATTTCACAACACTAACTAACGGGTTGTCTGGTTCAAGAGTTCAGACCCCGTGATGGGCCAAATTCGGCTGTTTGAAAGAAACTGACGGCGGACTTCCCGCCCCAGGGGAAGCGAGGGAGTCGGGCATCCTGCTATATCCCTGGAAAATGTCCGAGGGCAAACTACCCTAGCGCAAGGGCGGCATCCTGAGCGCCAACCTTGGATCGGTCGGAGAAGACCCGGGAAGGCCGGGGTCCCGGAGGGGTAAGGCCGGGGCCGGGAGAGGGATGGCCGGGGGCCAGGCGGGGGGGCCGAGGGTCCGGGACGGGATGGCTAGGGCCCCAGAGGGGGGTGGTCAGGATCTGAGGAGGAGATGGCCAGGGTCCGGGCGGGGATGGCCGAGGGTTTGGGAGGGGGACGGCGGGGTCCGACGGGAAGGGCGGAGTCCCGGCGGCGCCGCGCTACTCACAGGATGACTCATTGTAGTAGACGTTGATTCTCTCCAGTTGCAGCGCCGAGTCACCCACGTAGCCTCCGGCTGGGTCGATACCGTGTTCATCGCTGATCACTTCCCAAAACTTGGGCAGGGCGAGGCGGGGGAACAGACGGTCAGAACCCGAAGCCTAGGGCGCCCTCCCCCGCGGCTCACGCCAGGGCTGGCCCGGCGGGGCGGGGTGCGCGGGGCCCGGCTGCCGAATTCCAGGCGCGCCTGAGCCGCCGGCGGCCGCTCCCAGCTTGGGTAGGGATAGGGGTGAGGGGCAGGGGGTCCTGGCTGTGACGCCCCCTCCTCGGCCGCGCCACTCCTCGAAGCACTTCCCGAGTGCCGCGCAGGGCAGGGCTGGGCTCCGAGGACCGAGGCGCAGAGAGGGTGCGCACCGGGGCGCCCGCACTGAGGGGTCGAGCCCCGACAGCCCAGGCCTGCCAGCTGCCCACCCGCAGGGAGCCCAGTGCCCGGCCCACCTTGGTGCCGATCTGGTTCCCGCACTGGCCCGCCTGGATGTGCACGATCTCCCTCATGGCGGGCGCCGGCTCTGCGCTCGGGGCACTGGCTCTTCGGACCGCCGCTGCGACTGCGGGCCCCCGGCGCGCTCCCCGGGACTCGACCCTCCGCCCGTTCTCCACCCCCCATCCGGGCTGCCCCGACCAATGGCCGCGGGCCTCGCCCTCCCCGGCCGCGCCCCCTCCGCCCCCGCGGATCGCGCGCCGCCCCCGCTCCCCCCAGCGCCCGCAGAGCCCCCACCCCCGGGCCTCGCCCTCCCGGGCCGCGCCTCCTCGCGTCCAGGCGGGCCTTGGGCCTCCCTCCTCGCCCCCCAGGCCTCCCTCCCCGGGCACCCCGCTGCCGGCGCCCCACCTCGGCTCGCCTCCCCCTGGGCCATCTTCCCCGGGCCGCTTCCACGCGGTGCTGTCCCAGGAGGGAGAACAGAAAGGGGAACTGAGGAAGGCTGGGGAAGTCAGGCCGGGAAATGCGCCTACTGAAGCGGGTTTGGGGGCGGAGATAGGGGGAGACGTTGGAGACTTTAAAAGTGGGGAGGCGGGCGGGAAGGACGCGGCTTCGGCCCCCGCCCTCATTTTGCTGCCCTCCCTACCCCCCCACCCCCCGTCGCTGACCCTCCCCGGAGGGAGACCGTTCCCGCTGAGTCGTCCTGGGCAGGCGGGGTCCCACCCGGAGCCGCCCGGGGTGGGTTCTGGGGCCGCGCGGGCCTGGCTGGACCAGGCCGGGGTGCTCTGCAGCTGTGGGTGCGCACTGTCCACCACCCCGCCCCCCGGCACCCCGCCCGCGCCGCGGGGTCAAACCCAGCGAGGAGACAGGCTTTGGGACACGAAAGTGGAGTGTTCCAGCGTGACTCTGACTCTCGTCCTCCCCACTGAACTTAGGGTAGTGGTTCTTAAGTCCTTGCTTTCCTGCCTATCCGTCTCGAAATACAGGTACCCTTCCATTCCCGCGACTCCGAAACGTTTGTTGTGGGGTTTAGTTAGAGTGAATACCTGGCGGCGTCGGACAGTGAACACGCACACACACACACACACACCTGTACACACGCACGCACGCACACCCCCTGCACAGTTGTCTACGCAGCCTCTCCACTGGGAGTCAGCGATGAAAAAGCTCTTCGGCCCCAGGAGGGCGCAGAGGGCTGGCTTCTACCTCTGCCGGCTCCCTCACCTTCCCTACTCCTGGGTGCCGGGGACTCCCTTTTGCTGTTCGGAGGGAGGTGTGCCTGTGTGCCTGTTCTTTCCGTAAGTGCAGTGCTGGAGGAGTGAGGACGCCAGAGGGAAAGTTTCATCGGACACGTCTCCATGCTCAAGGGGCCGCGGAAAGGCAGGCCGATGCCGCAGAAGGAACGCAGCCCTCTCTGGGGACGTGAAGACAACTGTGCGGATGCAAAGCATGGCTCCATATTTCTTTTATAACATGGTGCAGCCCGGACCTCTCTCTGAACTCCAAACGTCCCGTTTCCCAGTGTTTGCTGGGCGGCCCCTCCTGGGCACCTGTTCCCTTCACACCCTCCAGCAGGTAACACAGTCCTCACTTTAGGGGCTGGCATCCGGGCCCTCTGGGCTCGGGCCCCTTACCCCTTCCTGCTCGGTTGCCCTCATTCGGCGGCCACCCGCTCTGTTTGCCCCAGCCAGCCTGGGCCCCTCTGCGGCCAGCCCTCTCCATAGGCATGCTCACCACGGACACCCACACACCTGGAAAGAGTGAACTCTTTCCAGTTCACTCCTACGGAAGCTTCTAGCTGGCAGGGCTCACTCACTCATGTACTCCTGCGGCAGATACTTAATGTATGCCGGGGGTAATCAGGGTTACTTCAGGGCATGAATTAGGCCCTCAGGGAGCAATAGTCCCTCTTCCCGGTGGTCTTGTGTGGTAGAAAGGAATGACCACTGGGTGGTGAGTCAGGGTGACTTGGATTTCAATTCTGGTTCTGTTTCCAGTTAGCTTTGTGTTCACTCCAATTCTCTGGGCTTCAGTTTATTCATGTGTAAAATGAAAGGATTATCCTAGGGGCTCTGATTCTGTGGCACCTTCGGTTGGAATGTACATCCACCAGAGACTTTTGCATGAGTTTCCCTGTGTGAGCACTTTAGGTGGGGAGACTCTGGAAAGCCCGGACTGCACCCCTCCCAGGCCAAATGGAAATGCCACACAAAGAGGAAGGGACAATGCTCTGTAATCTGCACCAGTAGTTTCTCTTTAGGTATATGAAAACTTTGGGAAAGTCCTCACGACTGTGTGGTTGGAAAGTGGTAGAGAACTTGAAATATTTTTTCTTTTGGAGTTTTCCAAATGTTTCCAATTTTAAGGATTAATTTCTTTAACCTTTGGGTCCCTGGCCTTGGTCCCCTCCCGCACCTTCTGTGATGCCAGGAAGCAGGTGAGGGGCCACAGCCCTGCCCACGCTCTGTCATCAGACTTTCAACCTGAGGTGACCCGGCTGTCCTCTTCTGAGTAGCCAGCACCCTTATTTAGGCTGTTTGTGGCCATTGCTCAATTTAATTACTGACTCCAAGTAAACGCTTCCTTTTTCCGTCTCCTGGTACTGAGTCTAGTGTAGGGAGCTGGGGGAGTGGAGGGCCTCGGGTTCCTGGGAGAGACTTTGCTCAGCTCTGGTCACACAGTCCCTGCGGAATCAAGCCACTAAGTAGCTTAAAGAAAGGTGTCTACTTCAGAAGCTTTGGTGGTTTGTGGAAATAACCACGTTTTCGATGCTACTCTTTGGGTGGGAATTTGAATCCGAGATATTTGATGGACTAAGAAGGCAGGTGTCAGTGGCTTCAGGAACGCCCATCCCCGGGATTCGACGGCGGAAAGTTGATTTATTTGAGTTTCTAATGGACACTCCCTGCTGACTGGCACCCCAGCCTACCATCCACATCACGAGGGCGTGTAACTAAGGTGACTTGGGCTCATTGCCGCACGCTTTTCCACACAACTTATGGAATCATCACAACAACTTATGGACTCATCACAACATCACAACAGTTACAGATGCTACTGCAGATGAGAAAACGGACGCTCAGAGCGGGCATCACCTTGCTGGCAAGTGGGCAACAGGATTCCAGCCCACGGCTAAGGTCCTCACAACGATGGGGCTGGAGCAAAAGGACACCTGGGTCTAAGGATGTGCAAGTTACTAATCAAGCCTACAAAAGTTTTAAAGGGTGCATTCTGTCCTCCTGCCTTTTCCTGTCTGGAAAGCCAGGTTCCAGTGTAGGATTCTCAGACGCCTTGGGGATTTGCATCAGGAGTGGGGGAGGGGACTGCTGGCCTGCAGCCTCCAGCCCCAAGTCTCAGCTTGCCCCCGTCTCTCCCTCTCCAACTCCATCCCACACTGGGAAGGGCCTCCTGGGCTCCTGGGAACACCCCAGACCCCCCAGCCCCCACACAGCCATCCCTGGGACACCACTTTTTGCACATCAGTGTCACTGTCCACCATGAGGGGGCCTGGAAGGAGGTTGGGACGTTCGTGGGGGGCATTGAGTGTATCAAATCAACTTTACAACAAACACGACCTGACGTCTACCTGCTGGTGATTGAATTGTTGCCATGTTGTGTGGCAATTTGGCAAAAATGGCAGCATGTCTTGCTGTAGTCAGATGGCTTTACCCAGCCCAACCTAAGTGTGTTTGTATTTTCCCAGTCATGGAATCAGTTCCAACACTGACCATTTTCTCTGATACTGTGCATAATATAACAGTCTTCAGTCTGTTCTAGAAGGAAGAGCTCTGTGCGAGGTGACAGAATCCTGGGATCTGATCCCTGATGTGACCTCCAAGCCTCAGCTTCTTCCCCAGCAACATGAGGGGGTTGAGTGACTAGATACAAAGACCTTGAGCCCAAACATCCAGGGATCCCCCAGCACCCCTAGGCCATACTCAGGGGATCCTCCCCCCTCATTCTCCCTCACCCTGGCCCCTTATCTTGAGCACACACACTGCAGGGTGTGCAGGGTAAGGGGTTGAGGCCCCAGCACACCCAGGTGTTATGGAGGAGGGGAGAGAAGTGCTGGGAGGGGCAGAGGTCCTGATGGGGAGCTGCCTGGGGAGAAGGGGCTCTGGAATGTCCCTGCCAGGTGACTTAGGCTGGAGGCCAGGGGAAGGAAGGAAAGGTGCCTTCATCCTGGGATTTTTATTTTTATTTTTTTGATTTTATTTTTTTGATTTTTTTTTTATTTGAGAGAGAGAATGAGACAGAGAGAGAGAGCACGAGATGGGGGAGGGTCAGAGGGAGAAGCAGGCTCCCCGCCGAGCAGGGAGCCCGA